TTTAATCCTTCAAAACAATTCATCTACTCTACCTTCCTTATTGTATGTATTGAAGTATATACTAATGCTTGATGTTATTTAATAACTATATGACTTGAAGTAGTTAAAATAGAAATTGTATCAACTTCTTTAATTTCATAAGGCATAAGGTAAGTTTTACTTACTAGCATGTCTCGTGTGAGTAAGTCACTTGAAAGTAGAATCCAATCGCCTCTATTGACATCCAAGTTGAATTTGCAACTTTTCTTGTATAAAATTGCAACTGATAATAAAGTATCATGTATTCCAAGAACTTAGTGGTCATCCTTCAAAACCATAGGAATACATTTTTTTGTAGGATCTAAAACTATAAGATGCATCTCACCTAAATCTTGTGATTTGTTAATGCCACCATCATAGCTTTAGAGTTGAGTAGTCACATTTTCATCAAAATTGAGAAGCTTATTCTTGTCTTCTTCAATGTGTGCATTGACTATATTATCAATGCGTACATAATGTTGTAATTGACACTATAATATAATTATTGTTTTTAAATTAAATGATGCTTCTTGAGTTAAAAGAACAACAACAATAATTCTGATATTTATTACACTAATATTTATTACACTATTATTGTTTATTTTAGGATATTTTATATTACCTTATTAATGCCCCTTCTATCTACAAGTACTATAAGTACTTCTAGACTTATCAACCTTAGGCTTATGTTTTTATTATACAAGGTGCTTCTTTAAGACTTGCTTTTTTTTTGCATACATTGCTAAAGCAAAAAATGAAGAACTAGTCTTTTCCTTCCTTTGCATCTCTTCTTCAAGGAAAATAGATTGTACTATCTCTTCTATGATTTCTTCTTTTTTCTTTGCTAAATAAATAAGTGAATTTCAAAATAATGGCAATACAATAAGTATGAAAAATGCCATGCTATGTTTGCCAATTTCACCACTGACTTCAATATATTGATTCCTAAGATCAAAAATCTCTCCAAGAAAAATCTCCATAGATTTTCCATCCACATATCAAAGATTTTATAATTTCTTCATTAAAAATATCTCAATAATAATTCTTGAAGGCTTGTGGATCTTAGCCAATACATCTTAGATCTCTTTTCTAATATTATATTTGCAAATATGAGTTAATTACAAAGGCTTAATATTGATTACAATCGATGCTTGTGTTTGTACTTTGCTTGATTCTTATTTTAATTTTTCATTAATATCTGTAGGATATTTTAAAATCTCATCTACATATATGTAAAGCTTGCAAATCTATATTAAGTGTTTCATAATGAATACCTATGTACTATAGTTTTTTTCTTCTAATCAAACAATGTGATGATCCATTGAAGATGCCATTGCCAAATACAATTAATGCAATAGCAACAAATAACTATAAGGAAAAAATTAACAAATGATCTAAAAAATGCAATATTTGGAAAGTAATAGTAGTACTAAGCTATATTGGAGCAAAAAAACTTGTTTTCACCATTAAAAATATATAGAATTTAATTAAATAAAAATTACCATCAATAGAATTAAACTCCAACTCCGATAGCTCTAGTAAGGCTCCATCAAGGCTCCAACAATTCTAACAAAGTTCCAATAGGGCTCTAGTAGCTTCTTGACTTCAGCACCATTCCAACAATGATGGAGCTCTAGCAATAAGCAAATCATCCAAGTTTTCATCTACAAAAAACATCCATTTTATCCAAATTCTATCCAATGATATTCATTTATAGTACTTTTCATCTAATTCTAATACTATTATTATTACTAAAAAATTTATTACAAAAATTGGATGAATAACATGAAAATGTACTAAAAGCCAAGGAGAGAGCACTTCCAATGTCATAGTTAAGAGTTGGATAAGTCAAAGCTTTTGGTACATAGAATATGTCACATTCAACAAAAATGTGGCCTAGTTGGCTCAAAAATATTGCTCAGGAAAATTTATGAGAACTTTGCGTGGTGCTAGTGCTGGGAATAGTTTATTCACCTCACGAGAGATTATGAAGGTATTTATCCGATACAGTGGTTAAATGCAGTGGTTAAATTCCTCGAAAATTCTCTAACTGTGGATCTCAAAATTTTCAAAGCTCATCGCAATTGCAAGCGTGGGAGTGAAGGATAGCTCCGGGATACGTGATGATCACATGCACATCAGTGTAGCATGGAAGATCTGCTGGTTCATTCGATAATAATAGTTAGTAACTTTGATCATGTTCCATCCCCTTTCCACCTAAAGTTGAACAGGGCCTTTCAGTGGCAGGTTTCTCTCAATCCACGTTAAACTAACTTGCTCTCATTCATCAGGGACCTTGATACGGAACTCCTGTGATTCCCCCAACTCTGCACGTGTAACCAATCATAAACCGCAAAAATCGATCAAAGCTGCCTTACAAAATAATACACGCTAGCAGAGCTGATTGGTACGTCGTTGTACTCTGTAAAATGGTGATCAGTTTCTAAACCCCTCTTTCGGAGAAACGGGGCGTGGTTTCATTTCCATCAGACTATCATTCGATGGGAGCCTCCAAGTGGTGTCTGATTGAGTTCCTGCGAGCAAGCTTGAGAAGCATTCAAGGCTTTCACCACCAACCCTCATACCCTCATCTGGAGGTAACCTGTCAACGGCCGCAGATTCCAGATTGCCGTGTCCAAACTGTGTCACATCCATCTGCAGATATAAGACTGCACGACAATTTAGTGTTGTAAACAAGGTATAGGCTAGATCATTGCATCTGTCACTCGTCGCCAGGGAGGAGAATACTCTTCAAGTAAGTACCGCGGTTGTGACCCACATCCTCAGAGTTGCCTGAATCCTATCCTTGAAGAAGAGTATCATTACTCGTAGTCATAAACGTAGCACGAGAACAAGGAAACGCTAAAGCTACCATCTCCTTCGATCTCCCCAAAAGCTGAAGCTACGAGCTGTAACCAAAACACTGGCGACGAACACGAACCAGAGTAGTAGAAACCACAGATCAGCAATCCAGGATTTATACTCAAGGCATCAAACTTGATGCGACTGGCTTAGTATTATGAGCAACAGGTGTTTCCTCTTTCCACAAGCTTGCCTTCCAGTCAGCAAGCACACGGATCTGCCAACTTATGCCACTCATCGAACACTGATCGAATGAGAACTGTCATGCCAAAGGGGCGAAGAAGCTCACGTTTCCAGCACCCAAGCTCAACAACATCGTGCTCAATTGACTCATGACTCATGCAACTCGGAAGGAAAACGTGTCTGTGATGGAACCATACAAATCAGTGTGTTCCAAGTTTCATTCTCTGTATACTTTACTAGGAAATGTGCATGGGGCACGGAACTCCGCGTGTTTTCTATTCTGTGCACTTCCTCTTAAAACTCTGCTTTTGTTGAGGGATGTGGACACTTTGAGTGGCATTCATACATTGGTGGTTTATTTATCCATGATCCATTTTAAGTGATTTTCATGTTGAGTGCTTAAAGTATTGGAGTATACTAGAGGAAACGAGTTTTTCTCTACCTGAGAAGAAATGAAAGTGATTGGATAGAAGTGGTTTTATTTATTTATTTATTGGTAGAGGTTTGATCTTGGTTGGTTACAATTAACATTTGAGTTATTACTATCTTTTGTGCACATGAATGTGTAGAACTTCTGAAGTGAAGGTCTGGGTACCATAAAAGTATTTTTGCAAATAATGTGTAATTGTTTGTGATGTTTGTTACTCAGTTATTGATTATGTTTTATTGTATTAGCAAATTTTTGTGCATGCTACTTTTGAAAAAGACTTCCTATAATAAACATATGAACTAATTAAAAATATGACAATAGAAAATCTTGGTAATTTTGATGAAAATAACTGATTGATTTAGACCAACCATAGTCATAATCTTTTCTTGTATATAAAATTTAATATATTTGCAAAATTTTATAAACTATTTAAAAACCATAATTAAAAAGAAAATTATAAAAATATAATATTAAAATACTAAAAGAAATTTAAATTTTAACAAAAAGAAAAATTAAGTGTTTTTAATCTTAATAAAGCAATATTAATAATTGGAAAAATCAAGATTTTGATTTTTTTTGAAATTAAATTTCTTGAATATGCTATGAAATATTCTTAAATTCAGCAGAACTACACTATTTTTTTATTTTTTTTTTAATCAGGAGTTGTTTTGAGTTACTATTCATTGGCAGTTTCTTTCATACAATCAGGCAACCACTTCTTTACATATTTACTTTACTATCACAATGAAAATCTGACATGGTCGGAAATATTGAATGAATAAAAAAAAAAAAAAAAACAAAAAAACAAAAAAAACAAAAAAAACAAAAAATAAAACAACCCTAACTATTCGTAGGATATTTTTTGTGGAGGTAAAAGGTCAATTTTGACCACAAGACCCACAATTCATGGTCTTCAGAATTGAGAAAAAAAAGTGTTTAACCCAAGCCTTACGGATATCAAACAATTGCTAAAAGTGGACTACAAATATGTTGTAGGTCCACTTTCTAGAACTAAAAGTCGTTTGGCAGAAACTAACCGCTTGAGTCAAAGCAATTGCAGCAATGTCAACAATTTGTTCATCAAAAACGTCTATTACAGTAACAAATTACTCAAGAGGGAGCCATCAAGTAAAGATATTAGAACACACATTAAACATTCACTGTAAAAAAGCATGTGACTGAGACCCACTCGTAAATACACACACACACGATTAGTTTCCCTCTCTATACATGACAAATCACAGTCTACGGCAAAAGAAAAACAAAGAAGTCATGTGGCACTTCCAGTGTCCTTGTAGCATTAAAGGAAGTGTCATCAGCGCGCTATTATTATTCACCTCCATTGACAACACCCAACGCCTATAAATCAATGCTATTGATATAATGAATCAGTCATTTTGCTGTGTAACGTGCAGCAACTTGTAAGCAACAAGGGAAGTGGAGATACAGACAGGGAAGCAGAGACAGGGGAGCTTCTGCACACAAGCATGCGAGAAGATGAAGTTGATGATGCAAAATGAAGAAGAAGACGAGAAAGGTCTATTACGTGCACAACTTCGAGTGCTGTGGCTTACATGCAACACGGTTCTTACCATCTTCTGCGTGATCACAGCATTTTGTGGAAAAGTCAAAAAGCCTGGCTACAACGAATTTTTTTTTCTTATTCTGGCATCAGTGACTGAGGAGAGCGAGAGAAAATAAAAAGCGGCGGGGCTTTCCTAGTGCGGCAACCTAGTTCGGGAACCTTCAGTATAAGGGTCGCGGATTTCAGCTTCTAGGATTCCGTGAGAACCATGTGAGACGATGGGATCTTACGCCAGGATCATTGCAGGGCGCTTGCTTCATGTGGAGATGGTGTTTGTGGGACTGTTGCTTCGACTTGCAGTATTTCTTTCGGTTTTCCCTGGCGCATGTATGTTCTCTTCCACCTCCCTTTACTTCCGCGCACTTTTCGACATGAATAGAGCAAAATAGCGTCATATTCGATTCCCTGAAAGCTGGCCCAGTCAGTTTCTAGCTGTATTCCTTGGCTTGATTAGGTCTCACAAGTCAGTTACTGAGAGTTTGTCAGATTTGCTGAAACTCCCCAACGACTAGTTTCAGTAACAGTGGGATACGTCATGTAGAGTGCTGCAAGCGAGTGACGATTGGTCGAGGTGGAGTTGTAGAGAACCGAAATTGTCGATTGACGAGTCGTAGGTTTGGCCTTGTCCATGATCTTCGAAGGTATTTTCCGAAAGGCTTACTTGATTGATCCACTGTGAGTTCTGGACCATTGCTAACTGTGAAAACATGAGCGGATCGCAAGCTTGGGGCCATGATTTGCTATCTAGTGGCTGTTTGTACAGTCATACGAAGCTCGTGCAACAAATTTTAAGAGCGAAATTAGCACGTTGGATTGTTGCTTGTAGGAATTGAACTGACTAAATAAGTCATCGGCTGTGTGTTTGTATAGATGTCGATGGAGCAACCCGTGAATTTGGGGATGGTAGACCTCTACCGCTCTCTGCGTGCGAATGGCACCAAGGGACCCTGCTTACAAACACTTCTACAGGGCCTGTCGAATCTATTGAAGACTGCAGATTCGTAGTATGCATCACCATCGATCACTTTGAAATAACACTGCGTATATCGCGATGCCCGATGCTGTCGAGATGGAATTTCCTAACCCCAAAATTGTGGCTGGATTGCAGGTTCGCGATCCAGAGTTTTTGGATATCCTGGGCTCGTCACCGAAGCTTGTTGAGCTTGTAAAGACGGACGCTCACGAGGGTGGTGCATGGTACCCCGACAAAGACGAATTCTATTTCTCATCTAACAAGTTGACAAGTTCCACTGGCCAGATAAAAACAGATGTGAGTTTCCTCTTTCTGATATTCCCTACTCTTGCTGTGAATCGATGGTCACGAAAAGTGATGAAGAATTCGTTGGTGCAAAAACAGAAGAAAATGAAAATCTGTATTAATCGTTGCCCACTGCACAATGCTCCAGCTCAAGAAGGTGAATCTGAGGACAAGAAACGTGACAAACTTGAGCGCGCCGGAAAACAATACTCCGAACGGAATGGTGCTTGACAACGATGGTAATCTGGTGGTATGCCAGCAGGGGTCGTTGAACCAGGGAGGTTTCATTCAACGGATCAACCTGAAGACAATGAAGAATACGGTTGTAGCAGACAACTGGTTCGGGGTGCCGTTCAACAGTCCGAACGATGCTGTTGTGAAGCGAGACGGGTCCATTTGGTTCACGGATCCCAGCTATGGCAGCGTGCAGGGATTCCGAAGCACGCCCAAGGTGAATAACCAGGTTTACAGGATTAGCAACATCGGCGTGGTGGATGCAGTTGCGGATGGTTTTACACAGCCCAACGGACTGGCGTTCTCCCACGACGAGAAGCATCTCTATGTCACCGACACCGGATTTGCTGTCGGGTGCAGGACGAAATCCCGCAACTCTAATTTCTTCATGTGAAACTGTTACATACTGACGGGAACGTTTCAAGTGCATTCTACAGATAATATAACCCTAACTTTTATGTGGTGACGTAATTGGTCTCTGTTAGAGTTCAGGGGAAGTATGATGCGACGAAGCCTCACTCAATCACCGTCTTCGATGTGGGTGTAGATGGGTTTCTGACCAATCGGCGCCTGTTTGCCTCCGTTGGGGTTTATGATGGAAGTTACCCCGGACTTGGTGTCCCAGATGGTATCAAGGTCGACACTCAGGAGCGTGTTTATGTCAGCACTGTGGATGGGGTTCAAGGTCAGGGGCCAATCCTTTCCATTGTTTTGCACAAAGTCAGAAGTCAGCGGTTTACTGTGAAAACTAACTTATTCCCAACTAGACCCGATTACTGATGTGAAGGGTGGTGCAGTGTTTAATCAGTTGGGGAAGCCACTGGGTCTAATCCGGCAACCTAGTGTATCAAACATGGGATTTGCTGGAAGGAACCTCGACACTTTATACATTCTCAACGACACAACGATCTCCTATGTCCAGCTGCAGGTATTCACCAAGTGCCACAAGCACGACCCTATTTTTCAGATTATTGTGTTCAATGGTGGTTTACTGTTGCATGTTTGGCTTTCGGGATTTCCATACCGAACTTACTCGTTGCACTTCAAGAATTTTAACTTCGATAAGTCCTCGTTATTGAGTGTAGGTTAGAGCTGCGGGACTCAAATACGCAGGATCATCGCATTGACACTTCATCAGTCAGGAGAAAGTTTTTCTTCTCGATAGCTTGAATTGTAGCTGTAGGATATAAGCTATTTTATTCAATGCTGTCTATGGAGGTCAAATGCGCTTGAAGTGCACACTTAATGAGAATCTACCCCATTGCTCTACACTCCAGTACACCAGACTGTACTGGTCTAGGATTTTTGCAATTTCGTTATTACTTCAATCGGATTCACATGTTGTCAACTTTTGAGTAGACCATCTTCTGTGCAATAATATAACAATCAACTATGGACATCGAATCACTTTTGATAGTGATAATTTGCACGTGTTGGGGTAGAAATTGGACGATCTACTACAGTTACTGCGCTTAGAGACTTTCACTAGTGCCGTAGAAGCTGCCTGAGAAGTGGCTCATGGTAACAAAGCTGGTGTGCGAGGATGTCATGGGAGTATCCAAGCTTCCAGAGATGGGCACTTGCATAGTTCCTTCGAGAATGCGCCGCACCTCGGACATGGTGGGTCGAAGCTCAGGCTGGATGCGAGTGCACAAGAGGACTATCTGTGCACACAAGCTCACTTCGTGTTTATCGAAATTACCCTCCAGACGTGGATCCACGAGGTCAGCCAGCTCGGCTTTCGCAAGAAGCTGCATCCAGTTGAGCAACTGCGGCTTCCCTGCATGAATCCAACTTCATAATGAATCTCTAGTAGAGAATCTCTCACAACACCGCCTGACCTATAAATCCTAACCCTAAACTTTCCAGTGTCTAGAAGGGTGTTTCTGTTGTTCTCCGGATTCTGATACATGGTTGTTCGGAGTTCGATCGAAGTCTAGTGTTGATTGTTAGTGATAGTACCTGATGGCTGCGATTGCAGCATGCGCCGCCCACTGACGAGAACCAACAACAGCATGCCATAGCTGAAGACGTCGCTCTTCTCGGTGAGTTTCCCGGTCACGCCGTACTCCGGATCCACAAACCCGAGCGTTGAAATCACAGTCCGGTGGGAGACTTTCGCCATGCGCACGGATCCGAAATGCCCCACTCGCGCTGTGTAATCTCTGCGACATAAGAAACCGAAATTTCCCTACCTACCTGAGTTCGTGACCTAAAATGCCCCCAACCCAACACAATCTGAGTCGTCCTTGCATGCAGAGTATCAGGCGAGTCTCGACACACCTGTCGAGGAGGATGTTGCTAGGTTTAAGGTTTCCATGGATAATCGGAGGCGTGCAGTGCTCGTGAAGATGCTCCAACCCAACCGCTGCGCCATGGGCGATGCTGTACCGTCGAGGCCAACGCAGGAACGTGTCGTCACTCAAAAGTTGGTCGAGAACGGACCCGTTGGGCATGTAATCACACACCAGCATGGGATCGCAGCCGCCAATTCCCTTGAAGAATCCTTGCAGTGCCACTACATTGGGGTGCCGGATGATGCCACGCACCTTTACCTCGTTCCAGAACTCGTCATTGACGAGCATTCCCGAGTTTCGTGTGTCGAGCTGCTTCACCGCCACGGTGGTACCATCTTCCAGCTTCCCTTGGTACACAAACCCTGTCGTGCCCCCGCCCAGGAGGGAGTTGGGATGGAAGCCGTTCGTCGCAGAGTCGAGCTCTTGGTACGTGAATTGACGGCATATAGAGGGCTGGGAGGGCTCCTCTATGTTTGCTCTCATTGAGGATTTGAGCTGCCAGAACTGATCGGCTTCCATTGAGCGGCTTCGCCAGTAAAGGACAGCTATGGTGGACACTGCTGCTATCACCACCATGGGACAAATGAGAACGACTGTGATGAGCAGAAGCAGGTGCGTCCGAGTCCAGGAAACACAGGGTTGAAGCTGTAGGGATGTGTGCTGCTTGCACTCTTCAATGGATCGCATCTGCGATGCAAGGCGGCAGGAGCTCTGTGAAGAGAAGCAATTTTTCGTCCACGCGCCAAACTTGAACGGCGCATCCTGCGCTGGCGGGATTGTCCCAGTGAAATAATTCTCCGACAAGTTGAGAAAAGAAAGTTTCGGGAAGCTATTGAGGAGCTCGGGTGTCACCCTTCCTTTCAGTAAATTCCCTCGAAGATCCCTGGTTCCCAACAGACATGGAACTTAAGAAATTAGTAATTCTAATCATGAGCTGATCTGACAAAACTGAAGAGCAAGCACTAATTCATACAACTGCGCATTGAAAAATGATCGTGGTACCCACAGGTGCCGAAGGTTGGACAGTCCCGCAAGAATAAGTGGAATGTCCCCAGTTAGGTTTCCGTTGGGAATCTTTCTGCGCCACAGTTAAGAATCCCAATATGTTAGTGCAGTCTTATCCCTAATTTTAGGTTCACGAATTCGGTTGAGAGAAAAATTCAACGACAACCTTCACATTCAATGATTCTCATGCAAACTTACAAAGTAATGACGGTGCAGTTCGAATAGAGAATGGAGCACGGAGTTTGCACATTCGGTCTGTCGCTCAGTGCACATCCGACGCCGGGCCAGGGTCCATGGCAAGCGTCCACAGCCTCCACCCATAACTTGACGACGCTGGGAGCTGCCTTCCACATGTCCCGCAGTTGGGCAAACACCGCAGCTGCAGAATATGCACAAATTCCATTCCACTTTCAAAACATGTCGGTGATACAGTAGCACTTGCTTCTATCATCCAGGAGCATGTATGATGCAGATTTAAGCTTGTGATGGAATTCAGGGCCAGAGGGAGGGAGAACGATTTACCCTCTGAGGGAGTGGCGGAGGCATGGGGGTGGAGGCACAAAATCAACGCAACGAAGAGCAACATGAGTGGCCTAACCGGCATTGTGTGCACGGTTGGCATTTCACCAGATAGCGTCTCCGTCAGGGCACTGTCATGACGTCGTCTTCTAGCTTCCATGCATTCTAAACACCACATATATGATCAATTCCATTTAAAGCCGCGATCCAGAGGTTGTTGCATCACGGCTGCATCCAGCTCTGGGCCGCAGAGAGCTCCCCCTGAATCCTTGCACTAGCACTATCAGCAGTAAGAATCAATGTATATTTCGAAGAATTACCAGTTGGAGGGATCGATCACAACAGTAGTGCCTCGAAAGGGGACGACATCAATCCAACTACGATTTTCACAGTACTTACGATCGACTGACGTACGGAGCAAACCTTCAAATTGCTAAAATGCCTCCAACATTCCTACGGAAGATTAAAAAATCATGAGGCATCTGTTGCATTTAATAAGGCCAAGCTTTCGAAGTGTGGGTTGACAAGCACACAGAAGCAACAAATCAACACAATAAGTGCAACTCACTGACGACGCAACCTATTTGATAGTGAAGGGACTCCTGGTAGTCATCTCTAGCCAGTGAGATTACTCCAATTCTACAACGATGTACTCCCACACAAGCATCATGTCGAGAGTTATCGTGTCCCTGGCACTCCTGAAGCCTGAACCCAGCGTGAGGCTTTCGACAAACAAAACCGACATCAGTCGCCAACACTATATCACGTACACATAGCAGCTCTCACACGCAGCATGAAGTTTGAAGTTTGAAGCAGCGAGCACGTGAAAGCATGAAGAAAGGTCACAGTGGATCTCATCGACGTCCATACTATGAATCTCCCCCACCCTCCAGCACGGCTGCCAGGTTTGAATGTACTAGAGCTCTAGCCTGCAGCTTTGCATTGACTCTGTATGGGGGATCTGGCTCCCTGGAAAGCATTCATGGCAATGACACTCGAATTGAAGCTGCAGGTAATTGTGCCAGACTCCATCAGATTTTTTGCTTAATTCTTACCTAGTCAAAGAACCTACTAACAACTCGTCACGACGTCAATTATCCACGCCGGCGTAGCCGTTGACGCAAGGCTCACTGGTGATCACCATCCGCGACGCTTGAGACCACAACTTACACTACAATTTTACATACTTCAGCATCAAACTCTGGGCAGCCGCTTTCCTCTATGTGTTAGTTAATAGACGTGGTTTAGCTCCCATTAAAAACCGATCTTCTATTCAAGTTTCCTTTAGAAATACGGTGATCGATCATGGAATTTTTCCCCATATTGCTCTGGGATGTGTAGTTTTATAAAAAAAATTATCTTAGTGCAGCTAAATACTTATTCTGATAAGAAGAATACATCATTAAGAGGGTCATTAACGACGCACACGGGCACGCTTTCCGATGCTCAGGACATAACTCACTCCACAGACTTCAGTGTGGGATTCAGTTGTACGGAGCCCTCAGACTTAATGAGCTAAATGCTTAGCACGAATAAATAACTTTTTAAGACCTTTTGTGCTGAGTTTAGAAATTAATAATCTTCCTGTGTTGTATATTTTTACAGTGGATCAACTTGACTTGACTATCCGACTCTGCTCTGGGTCATTAATTTGGATCAGAACTACCTTCTTGTTTATTTATTCATTATTTTATTTTTTTGACACAAGTAAAGTGTTACTTTACTGCAGGTGGGATTAAAAATACAGGTGTGTAGGTTCTTTGACCAGGTAAGAATTAAGCAAAAAACCAGGTCCGGCCAGGTCCGGCCACCACTAGGATTAGTGCTGTCAACTTCTTTTTCTTTTTTTTAAATACTATTTATAATTATATATTATTTAACTACACTTCTATCAGATTCATTAGTCACCACTAGGGGGCCTTTGTAACCTAAGTGGCTATCACTTCATTTGTACACCACTAGAAACAAAATGTTTTGCATAATAAGTGAGCTTCATTAGAGGCCTTTTGTGTCTTCACCTTGATAGCAGTCCATGCAATCCTACTATAATATATCAAATTTAGCTAAAGAGTGTTAAGCACTTTCATTTAGTGCCAATGCCGTCTATTAAATGCAACATCATTGTATTCAATTCAAATGGTCCAAATGATAATTCCACATGTAAGTAGCCATATTCGACTTGTCTTTTTATATCTGTGAAGTATTTGATAAGCAATGATTCCTTACTTCTACATTAAGTGAATCAAGGAGGTAGATTGTTCTCTTCCTCCTTATACATCAAGGAAACAAATTGTGCCATTTGTTGGATTGTTTATTATATTTTTACTTATATCTTGGTTTATTTTGTTGTATTTATACTGCCTTACTTGTTCTTTGCTCTTCTATATGTAGAGCTTGTTATTGGGCCACTACCAATGAACTTCTTTAGAATTTTGCTCTTCCATGTCTATGCGTGAATTAGTAAGGGGCATGTCCAAAATCTATACAATACTATTTTTATTTGGCGTACAAGATATGTTGAGCAACAAAGGTCAATTTCTAGGTTTGATTTGTTTTTTCACATATTAACTACCATCTCACAATGTCAAATGAGTGAAAAGAGTCTAGCTTCTTTTTGAGTTCATTGTTTATCCCAGATGATGAACCATCTCAACTTATAAGAATTAGAAAGTATCTCAATCAATTTTGATTCTACAACTTTCAATAGGACATGTTTTTATTGCAAAAAGTATTTTCTTCACCTATGCCAAGTATTCTATTAAAAGAGTATTGTCTTTCCATCAAAACCTCCTAAGCTTCGATTGTAACCAATCAACCTTCCCATAAAAAAGAAGGATGTTTGGTTTGTGGTATTCATGTTTCACTAGTTCTACGTGAACTCTATAGAGGTTCCTTCATACTAAAGTTTCCATTGATCTTGTTGCTTCAAATGTGGTGAACTAAGCAACCTTATTAATAGCCGAGATAAGAACCAAGATGCCTAAGTTCATGCATACTTGATACATATTAAGTAAAATTGATATCCTACAATAAGAGGCATTCCTCATAGGATTATAGAATGTATTAATTTGACATACCATCTATAGGAAGCAATCATTATCTATCTTATATGAGCCAATTTAGTCACCTTTTAAAAGTATAGGATGTTGAAACATAATAGGTTTTTTAATTTTTTTTCAATAAGGTAGATAGTGGTATAATAGATAACTCAAGAGGGAGTTTTTTTCATGCTGCAATTGTATAATTTCACACCATTGATCCTCGATTGCTTTTGGTGAAAAGAAAGATTGAAGTAATCAAGGCTAAGTAGCCATATTTTTTAAACATATAGTTGAAAGCATCCTAATCTATATCTTAATATTAGATACAAGTTTGAATTAACTAGTTCTATTGCCATAATGATCTATTTAGTCATAAGAGCTACCGTAGCATCTCAAAGATAGATGAAATTAATGCTTCTTTTGAATTTAAGTTGGCAACATTGTAGCCATCCAACTTTTTTCTTTGATCTTTCTATGGTGCCAAAAATAAGGTATGTTTTCACCATTGCTTTTACTTTTGTAATGACTTTCTTTGTGCTTTTCTATGCTGATATAAAAAAAAATAAATGAGAAAAATAACAATATGCTATTAACTACCACTACCTTTTCAATTGCATTAATCTATTATGTACATCAGTGCAATATTTTTTTCTTTATGCAAGCTTCTAGGAATTTATCTATATCTTGAGAGCTTATTGATAATCCAAAAAAAAAGTCAAGTAGTTTATTTAAGTCATCTATTTTTTTCTATGTTATCTCTAATTGATTTGTCCAAGCTAGCGTAGGCATGTTATTATAGACTTATTAGTATTCACTTGATTTGGTCCAATTAATCTTAAGCCTAGATGTGATATAAAGTAGATCTAATAAAGAGACTAGGTTGTGGATTGAGACTTCTTCTCCATGTTGTCATAATACGTGAAGTCTTGCTTGACAATGCTCCAGTCACTTAGTTGTGGAAGGTAGAATAGAAATTGCAACAATAAAATCCTAATTCTAATAGAACACTAACAATACTGAACAAGCTTTAATCAAATTCAGAGAAACCTCAAAGGAATTTTAAAGAAACAATAAGAAATCTTGAAGAAATATTAGAATGTTTACAAACATATCTCAAATACATCTCAATTCAATCTTAATTTAATGCTAGTTGAAATCTTATTGGACTTCATTCAAACTTTAGGCCGAAAACTAACTAAATCTTAAATCTTAAAAAAACTCAAATAAAATCCTAAATCCTAAATCAAATCTTGATCAAATCCTAACCAAACCTTAAACCTTAAATCAAATCCTAAACCCTAAACCAAATCCTAAATCTTAAATCAAATCCTAACCAAATCCTAGTCTTAAATCAAACCTTAACCAAATCCTAACCAAATCTTAAATCCTAACCCTAAATTAAATCCTAACCAAATCCTAATCCTAAATCAAATCCTAATCAAATCCTAACCTTAAATCAAAACTTAATCAAATCTTAATAATTTCTACAACAAAATTAAACCTCAATAATTAATGAATGAACCATTGATCTTAACTCAAATTTTGCACACTTCTTAAAAACTAAGTTGAAAAAAAGCACAAATTTTTTGAAAAGGATCGGAATTACCAAATAACCTACAAAATATGTTTGGATATTGGCTGGCCTCCTTCTCCAACCTTGATGCCATTCTCCCAGAGCCAATATCTCTCTTTTTCACCATTAAATTGATCTCAAAATTCTCATATACATAGAAAAATAATTCTTATATTCTTTCACACAAATTTCAATCCAATCCAATCCAACTAGTAGATTGCAAGAAATCTTAAAAACCCTCATTAGACCTAAAATTCTACTTTCTAAGACCTTGATTCACTTAAACCTCAATAACTCTCAATTCAACCATTAGATCGAGCTCAAATTTACAATACATATTGAACACAACTATAACCATTAATCCACAAAATTTCATCTATAGATCTATTACAAAACTCTTGAAATCATCCAAAATGTAAACCCTATTTTATTTCACAAAATCCAAGTCATCCAAAACAAACCTTGACTTTGCAAAGCTCTTACAAAGTCAATACAAATCCAAATCACCCAAAACCAATGCTCATTGAAACCTTATTAAGTTTTTTCTCTAATTCCGCTCTTTGATTTACTAAAGAGTCCTCGAGTTGCCGTAGGTACTCGGTTTAGTGCCTCATGGTCTGATTTCAACCTAGATTGATAACCAGCCCTCTTCGAGTACTAATATCTAGTTTTTCTAGGTAATTTTTACTAGAATTTACTCTTAACTTCTTTCTAAAGATGTTTATATCATTTATTTTTTCAATCTACCTTATTTTATCTTATTTTTGGCCCTACAAAGTAAGTAGAAGCTATTTTTTTTCTAAAAGGGTAGCATTACTACTAAAAGTTTTACTATCTTCCTATCTTTTATCCATATTTTTCTACTTTTCTTTTTAACTTGGCTCTTTTATAATAAGATCCATATTATTATCTTTCACTATATGGTTGTATTACAACTTGACAATGTAAAGTAAAAGAGATATCATCTACATATTGTGCTATGATATTTTGCTTGTTATCCATGGATAGTTGGATTCTTTGAATCCAAGCATCCTTGCTAGCTTTATTCACCTTATTATTAAGATTTTTCTCTAATTAAAATAAAAATAAAAAAAATATGCAAGAGAACAACCTTAACATATTTCTCTTTATATCTTAAATGAAAAAGATAGTAAAATCATTGACCTTGATACATGCTTCTACTTCCTTAAAGTGAAGTCATACTATAGTTATAAATTTTGTAGTAAGCCAAAAGTTTTCATAGCCATGAAAAGAAATTTCAAATCTATTGAGTCACAAGCTTTAAAAAATTCAAGTTTAAAAAAGAGAAGTAATTGTCTTGATTGTTCCTTCTACATAATAGTCTGTTGAGATAAAAATAATTTATCTAAAATATATAGTTACAACTTCTAAGTTTTTGAAAGCATACTTGTCTAAGTCAAAGCCTATGCAAATTAACATAATATGTTTCAAACCTCTTATTAAGTAAAAAAAGACTCCTCATCATCAAGAAGATTTATACCTATATTATGAAGAATCTAAGGACAATGCTTAACATTATCCAAAGAAGCAACTCAATCACAAAATAAGGAGCATGGTTGCCAAAGAAGACAATGTATGAAAAAATAATTTTTTCTAGCTACAATAAGAACATGCAACTAGAATCTTATATAACATCTAATAAAGGTCATATTTTCTCTTCAGATCTTTTACCTTGTTTCACAATAGAAGATTTTTTAGGATCAAAAATTCATAAAGTCTTAGCCTTATTAGATTTAAGAGCTTCAACTTGTTTTACAGATAAAGACTTTGTTAAAAAATAAGATATATCTTTACTTAAAAAAAACCAAAGCTATGCATATAGAAATAATAGATGGTTGTTCATTATCTTTTGGAGATGT